TCCTCTTTATGTGGTACCTGTAAATATAAAATCATGTTTTATCTTCATAAATAGGTCATTAGGGTTAGTCCCTGTCCACACTATCTAAAAGTCTAAGTTGCCTTCTCTGACTCTTGATCTTATTTACCATACTTTATTATCTTCTTGCTTATGTAAGTCAACATCTAATACATTTAATAATTTACAAGCATTTTCTTTTGTTTATTTTCTGTCTCCTCACTAAACACTAAAGATCCAGTAGGGCAAGATTCTCATGTGCTATTATTTGCTGGTGTGTTCAGTTGCCTAGAACAGTGCCTGGTTCATAGAAGGCTATCGATCAATATTAAATAAAAAGTCTAATTCGCTTGATTTTTTTGGTTTGTTAGCATTTGGTTGCTCTAGTTTTCAGTACTTTGCTTTCAATTTTCTCAATTTTTAAGTTTCAAAATTTTTTACATACTCTGAAAATCTTTATTTATTTATTTTTTTAGACTGGAGGATTGGTGCATTTACAGTATAGTCTCTATTTGATGCACATATGAAACTTTATTTTTTGCTTTCTACATAGCCAAACGATTTAATGCTTCCTTCTTTTTTTCCTTGGCCTGAATTTGAATTGTTTGTGTAGTTTTTTTTTTCACATGCTACTTTTTGTCTACTAAGAAGTTATACACATTCTTCCTAATTATTTAGTGGTCTCCTTGTGATTAGAATGCACATTTTTAATGAAAATCTAAAAGAAATCTATATTTTTATCCTCTTTTCATCCAGTAAATTACTTTAGGAATTTTGATCCCATTCCCACTGCCTCCCCAAACTATATATTGCTGTTGTGTATTTGAATTCTATTTATTTATTTCTTAATCCTGGAACAGTTCATGTTGTCTAGATTGGTCTCTGTCTCTCTTCACTCTCTCCAGGTGACTCTCTGACTACTTTCCTCTTGCCTGGAGTGTGAAGTTCCTTTAATGAGGTTGTGTTAGTAGCTTTCAATCTTTGTTGTCTGAAAGGTGTTTATTTCACTCCTGCTCCTGCGTTGGCCAGTCCACCCCTTGTGGCCTCCCCTTCCATTACTTTCAGGTTCACTGTTATTTTCTCTTCCTTTGTTACTGTGAAGAAACCAGAGTAGTTGAAGCCACACCTCCCCCAAAGGTCTGACTTTGTTCCTTCTCGCAGCTTTTAAGATGTTTTCCCTGCTGTGATGCTCTGCAGTTCCCTTAATTTTCTTCTTTGGTGTTTGTTAGATTTCTAGAATTTGTACATTGGTGAATCTTACCAGTTAAGGGAGAAAAAATGAGAACCGTTATCACTTTAAAGATTTCACCTTCCTATTGTTCTCTGTTTTCTACTCGTCATTTTCTTTTCCTATTTATTTATTCAGGCACTGGGGATTTATCCCGGGGCACTTTACCACTGAGCTGCACCCCCAGGATCTATTTATTCTTTTAATTTTGAGACAGCTCTCACTAAGTTGTTGAGCAGCTCACTAAATTGCTAAACTGGCCTTAAACTTGGGATCCTCCTGTCTCATCCTCTTACTAAGATTACTGGCATGAGCCACTGCACCCAGCAGCATATTTTGTATCTTTAAATTTCATTCTGAACATTGTAAAACCTCAGTCATCCTTCATTAACTGTAAGTCACTGGTTTTCTGCTCACCCTTCACCGAGGGAGTAGCCTTTGGGTTTTATGGTAGGGACACCCCTTTTAGATGCTCGCCTTGAGAGCTCTTTCCTTTGGCTCTTATTTTCATGCCATTATGGCTTAGAAAAGCGAAGCTGAACTTCCCCAGGTTTGCTGAAACATCTGGGAGTGACAGCTAGCTGCTTCCTCCCTCTGCCTGCTGGATCCACCTTGCCTGAGCTCCAGGCCTGTAAGGGCCCATTTTCTTTTCTGCTCACCAGGGCAATATTTTTAGCTAACTTCAGGGGGAGGATTCATAGTTAAGGTTGAATGTTTGGTTTTTCCTGGTTTGGGGTCCTGAATTAGAAGTTCTCTTCAGGGTTATTTTTTCCCTTTAATTCACCTCTTCTCTCTCTTTCATGCTGTAATAGGTCTTCACATGTCAGCTCTGGTTGGTTATCTTTTCATATTTAGAATAGATCACTGGAGAAGCTAACTGGAAGCTCCGTAGCGGGCAGGGGTGCACTGCAGACTTTACCTGAGGCCATAGCACAGGTGCAGGCAGCCATGGGAAGGAAGCCCTGAGTCCCAGAAGGTGAGGATTTCCTGGGGAGGGTTTAGTCTTTAGAAAAGAACCTTCTAATGATTTACTTGGGAAAAGGTACCTTGGAATGTGGGGTCCTGAATTAGGGGGACCGGGAGAACCATGGGGCCCACTGTTTCATGTGCAGATCTTCCACTAATCCCCACTGCCAGCCAGCAGACCCTGGACCTCTCTGGGACACTCAGCTTCTGTGGCCACCTCAGCTCCAGCTTCTCTGGGCTCGTGTTGATGTGGAGGTTCTGCCCCATGCATCCTCACCTCTCTCTGCCTTCTAGAAATTTGGTTAAATCTCATACCAGTGATGCTCATACACCTAAGTCCTCGTTAACACCATGGCTTTGTAACCTTCACTCCATTCTCACCTGAAGAGGGTTGCAGAAAGAGGCTGCCTGTGGTCTAAGATAGACGTTAACCCATTTTACAGATTGGTCAGCATGTGCCCATCCATTGCCTTGCCTCTGCAATCCCTGATCTCTTGTTTAGCGGAAGTAAGACAGAGCCAGAGAAAACGTGCACAATGCTTTCCTGTGTTCGCATTCACACAGAACCATGGTGGCCATTCACACATCCTCATGCACATTTCAAGTTGCAGTTGTTTCAAAATAAGCAATAATCAAAAATTATCTTGATGAGTTTGATAATAAACCTGCTACATTTTCTAAAAGCAATTGAGGCTTTAAAAAGCTCCATTCTCAGGATTCTAAATAAAATACAACTGGCACCCCTTATTGTACAGTCGTTCCATTCAGTGCAAGACAGAGCAGCAAGTGTCCATTACTAGGTCTCCTCTCTTGTGGGAGACACAACCTTTTCCCTGTGGCTAAGATCAGCCCAAAGGGTGACCCCAGATGGATGCTGAGCCCAGTTCAGAATTCCCAGTTCTCCCTGGGATTAAATTTCCCTCTCGCAGTATTTCTCTCCAGTCTGTTCTGAGCACCATGCTGCATACGTGGTGTGGCCCCTGCACCCCAACTTTCTGTCCTGTGAGGTGGCCACAACTGTGTGTGAAGGAGATGAGACAGGAAGTGGCTGTGGTGGAGCACGCGGTGGTGTTTTCCTGCACAGCAGCCTCAGCCTTGCACCGTGAGAAGGTTCTGAGAAAGGGACTGACATCAGTTGAAACCACTGACCTTCTGGGGAAGAGCTGTGAAAACCGTCTCTGGTCTGTTTGGCATATAATTTCTCATAAAGTGGTGCAGATATTCATATATGTGTGAAGAAGGAAAGTATGGGTTCCAAAGAAAGACATCAAATTGTGAAGAAATTGTTGAAAAACAAACTGGAACTCCTTTGAGGGGGGGTGGTGTTCCTCAACAGGGAGTTTTTAAAATACCTGCCAGATTCCAGGGAAATAGAAGATTCTGTTTTCATTGTCTGAATCCCTGAAGGGCCACACCCTGGGGCCTGGTGACAAGAGGGGAGAGGAGGGTCTGGGAGACCCACAGCTGAGGGACTGTGGATGGCTATGGCAAGCAGTGCCTGTGTCCCAACACGTGTGGTTTCTCGATTATTCTGCGCCAGCTGATGAATAAGACTGCCAAAATTACCCACAGAGGTCTCCAGTTCAGCACTTCTCCAGAGAAACTAGACAATCAAAGTCACTGAAGAAATGGGCTCTCCTTTGCTACTACGTACATGAAGAGGTTTGAGAGTGCTCAAAGGTGGACTTGGGGAGTTAAACCCCAAAGCCCCCGCCTAGAAGAGAACAAAACAAAGACTTGTAGCTAACAAGCCAGCAAAAAGAAATAAAAATGAAATCATATGAATTCAATCCAAAATAAGGAAGAAAAATAGGAAAAAGGGAACAAAGACTACATTGGACAAATAGAAAATAAATAGTAAAATGACAGATTTATCACGAATCACATAAAGTATGTGATAATTATGCCAGGTGTGGTGGCACACGCCTGTAATCCCAGCGGCTCGGGAGGCTGAGGCAAGAGCATCATAAGTTCAAAGCCAGCCTCAACAACTTAGTGAGGCCCTGAGCAACTTAGCAAGACCCTGTCTCTAAGTAAAATATAAAAAGGGCTGGGGATGTGCTCAGTGATTCAGCACCCCTAGGTTCAATCCCTGGTATGAAAAAAAAAAAAGACCTAATTGCCCAAGTTAAAAGAAGACTCAACTATGTGCTGCCTAAATATAAAGACAACATAAAAGAAAAATAAAAGGATGGAAAAAGATATAGATATATATAAAATTTTTTGGTACTCGGATTGAACCAAGGGGTGCTTAACCACTTAGCCACATCCCCAGCTCTTTTATATTTTGAGACAGGGTCTTACTAAGTTGCTTAGGGCTTTGCTAAGTTTTGGAAGCTGGCCTTGAACTTGCAACCCTCCTGCCTCAGCCTCCTGAGTAGCTAGGATTACAGGCGTGCACCATCATGCCTGGCTGAAAACAGGATTTTGTTCCTTCTCTCACATCAGTGCTTAGGACTGAGGTACTAGGAGCAAACGCTGGCTCGGAGGCCTGCTGTTCTGAGCAGCAGATCCAGGGACCCAGGGGTCCTTCAGAATAACTAGCAACTCTCTGGTTTTGATCTAGATTTTTCCAGAATTGTGTACATGACCCATGCAGAGTCTTTGTGAGGTACAGCATATAGCCACCAGGCATATGTGACTATTGAAATTAATGAATGAAAGTGAAACAAAATTTCAAGTTCAGCCCTGCAATCACAACTTTTCACATTTTAAGTACTCAGTACCTAGATGTGGCTCATGGTTTCTGGACTGGACAACACAGGACAATCCCATCATTACAGAAAATTCTGTTGGTGCAATTGAGGAGTAAGGTGTGCAGGTCCCTTGCACAAACAAGTTTAGATAGCTCCTCCCCTCACTTCCTTTCTGCTCCTCCTCCTCCTCCTCCTCAATATTCTGGATTAGCATTGCCTGCAAAATCAGAAAAGGGTACAAGACCCAGATTTTCCAGGTAAGGGAATGCGTGTCTGTTTTGGGGAGGAAAATGTTAAATTTGGTGGGGAGGGGACCTCTCTATTGGCTCTATGTCCTAAACTTTTTGGCAAACTTGTTTTCAGAATATATTTCTTGTTGGCTCCTGTTTCCTGTCTTTGCTGATTTGAGGTTGTAATCTGTTTTGAAGGCTGAGCCTTACAAATTGATGTCTTTTTCAGGGGTTACTGTTTAGAGGATACTTGTCTTACAAATAAATTATTCCTGCCCTGGTTGTAGAATTTATGAATAAACTTGGCTGTTCCAGGGTTAGAGTCGGCTGAGTGGACCCAATTAGCCCTGAGGGGCTGGTGGGAAGAACATTGATACCTGTAAAGGGCACAGCTTGGTGTGCAGCTCCCCAGAACTGACCCGTAGGTCAGGATCAGAGGCTGTGTAGTGGGAGGCCTTGTGACCCCACTAACTGTCTGCTCAGAGCTGCCTGCTAGGGACCTGCTGCCTCAGAGACAGTCCCTTCCTGGGTTCAGCCAGAAATGAGCTCTCCCTAGGAGCGGGGAGAAGGGGTATGCTTTCCTGTGTGACTTGCAGTTCAGGAGAAGCTGGGACTGATGCGTGTTTATTCTTTAGGCAGAGTAGGAGAACTTAGCTACCCAAGATCAGCACTCACAAAAGCACTTTCCCCTAGTCTTGCATTTAGATTAGGGTCAGTAGAGCAGCATTAGAGAGCCCATGTGTGGAAAGCAGGACCTTAAGAAACACCCAGGCCAGATGTGGTGGCACACACCTATAATCCCAAATGTGGAGAAGCCAATTGGGAGGCTTGAGACAGGAAGATCGGGAGTTCAAAGCCAGCCTCGGCAACTCAGTGAGATGCTGTCTTGAAATAAAATACAAAAATTTCAAAAAAAAAGGCTGAGGACGTGGCTTAGTGGTTAAGTGCCTCTAGGCCCTGAGTTCAACCCCTGTACCCCAAACAAAACACAAACAGCCTGTTTTCCTAATGCTGGCCTCCTATATCCACTTCTAATACCAATCACCAAAATCAACTCTGTGGTTTCAGCTTATTTTTAAAAGTTCTATGATTTCTCTTCCAGGTTTACAGGAAGCTGTTTCCTCTCTATTCCTAAAGAATAAAGAAATACTTACCCCCTTTTTCCTTTTTGAAAAAGAAGTGCTTGACTTTCTGTTTCAAATCTATAATTTATGGCTCCCTGCCTGGTGACCTTGTCCTTAACAAGAGCATTTTCAAACTGTCCTGGCTCAAGTCTGCACCTGTGACAGTTTTTCAAAATGTTCAGAGGTAGCAGTGAAGGATAACATTTTAAAAAGAACACTGTGCTTCTATGCCACCAAGAGTTGACCATCAGGAAGGAATTGTCATTTTTACGGAGTAGACATGGGTTGGATATAATGATCAAACAGAGAGGGGCAAGAAGCTGAGGGATTATTGATCAATTGATTTATTTAGCAAACATTTATTGAGAACCACCCTTTGTCCAGTATTATGCTTGTCCCCAGAGAAAAGGGGGGCGACATATGGTCTTCCCATCACAAAGCTTATGGGGGGGCAGTAGAACATCCTACAAATAGCTTCCTCTTCTGACATGAAAAGGCCCTGGAGTCCAGTTAGAGCCAACAGCCAGGGAGCACACCAGCGCTGGCTTGTGGTCAGCATGGTGCTGGGTGAAGTGTGGAAGACCTCTGAGGCCTGAGGGCTGCCCGGGCATGAGCTGGGCACTGGTCTGAATTGGGAGAAAAAAAGTCTGCAAAGGGCTAAAAGTTGGAAGGAATCCAGAGGGTTCTGGGAATGTTGAAGGAGCCGCTGTGGCTAAAGCTATGAGAGAAGGAAGTTATCACGCAGGGCTTTCCGGGTCATTCTGAGGATCTAAACTACTTTCTAAAGGCAGTAGGCAGCAACTAGGGGATTTAAGCAAGAAAAGAAAAAAGTAAAATTTTAGTTTTAAAACTGGTGGAATTGGAATGGGAAGGAAGACAAGGTGATCAGATAGGAAAGTGATACGTGCAAACCAGTGGCAGAGGAGGAGCAGGGAGACGGAGAGACACAAATAGTTCTGAGATTTGGGGGGCCAGAATCAACAGGATTCGGGGCGGGAGGATGCAGGTGAGGAAAGAAGAGTACGACATGACCCTGGGTCTGGCGGGAGCCCCTGGCTGAAGAGGAATCCTGTGGGAGGTGGAGGACCTGGGCTCCCTTTTGGCCAGCTTCTGTCTGAGAAGCCCATGGAACAGCCAAATGAGGCCAAAGTGCAGGGCGGAGGTTTGGAACACGGAGCAGGGGGTCTGTAGCCTGCAGAGGCTGGTGAGAGGCCCACAGGGCAGCCCCCAGGGAGAGAGGGGCCGGGCTGGAGCCGGCACCCAGAAAGCCCTGAGGTTTGTGTGTGTGTGTTTGGGGGGGGGGGATGATGGAACGACCTAGAAGTGAAACTGAGAGCAGAGGGTTGAGGTGAGGTTTTGGGAAATGAGGCAGGAGCCGTCAGAGGAGAGGTTTACAGCAGGAGAAAACACTGACAGCCAGATCAGACGCTGCAGTCACTCTGCCTTCCCCACACTGTGCGATTTTCTACTTTTATCTACAGGAATCCAAACCATAATGGCAGCCCAGTACCATGATGTGGATTTCTACCACAGCACACCAGGGACCAGCTATGGTGAGACATGCGCAGGGCCCCAGGCCTGGCCGCTGGGAAGAGGGCTGGGCGGTGGGGACCACTCTGGTTCTGACGGCCAGTCCCCACTTCAACAGGAGAGCAACGTCCCCAGCCTTGCTCCTCATTTCTCTCCATTGACCCAGATCTTTTCCTTCCCTCCACCCTCTCCATTTCCTCCCGAGGTGGCCGTAACAGCTACTTCGGGGAGAAACGGAAAGGGCCCCCATAGATCCAGGGCTCAGCACCATTTCTCACTCCCTGCTTCCCACAGCACAGACACCGCACAGCAGCGGGCGAGGCCTCTCTGTTGATCCTCTGCTCCTTTCTTCATCCTGGAGGGGGATTGAGAAGGAGAAATGTGGGAGTAATCAATCCTTCCTCCAGGTCCCTGATTTGCCTGTTGCTGGGGTCCCCTACGACCAACAAAGTCAACAGGCTGACTCAGCACATCACAAAACCCCCCTTTACTCTTTTACCCATAGAAATTGAATATGTCAGTTGAACTGATTTATCAACCTAGCCCACAATTTAGTAGCTTAAAACACCAACTACTTAGTTGGTTCTTAAGGTCAGGCGGACAGTTCTTGGGTCTGAGCCAGCTTCTGGGTCTCGGCCTTGATAGCTTCATGGACCTGTGTGTGGTTAACAAGCTCTTGGGCAGGCCAAGGTGTCTTCAGGTAGGCCGGTCCAAGAGTCTTCACACAGCAGTCGCAGGAAGAGCAGAGAGAAGGTGAACCGCAGTACAGGAGCACTTTTGGAGTCTCTGCTTGAATTATGCATTCCATTGTGGCATTGTCCAAAGCATGTCACTTTGACCATCTTGATTCATCAGTTGCTTTTTAGTGGGAGGAGCTGCAAATCCATATCCCAAGCAGGCGTGCACACAGGGATGGGAATGACGTGGGGCAATCAGCCCATGGATTGCCATTCATACGCTGTCAACACTGGCAGACGGAGGCGGTGTGGGAGCTGGGCTCTGGTGCCCTTCCATTCCACCTGCCATGATTTTCCTGCTCCCCTTGCCCATGGCCAGCAGGCCAGTGCTCCCAGGAGGTTCCAAGGAGGGTGACTTCCTCCCTGATGCTAACTAAATAACAATGTGAATGTCCACCCATGTTTTTCCTTAGACAACTTTTGCCTTCCTTTATCCTGTGTTCTCAGACATACAACTTTTGGAAATATATTTCTTTCATCTCCCGATTCTGGATCTCAAACATAGGAAACTTTGCCATAAAAATAGTGATGAGTTGTGTAACCTGCTACTGGCTCCGTACTGGGAGCTCCATTTGGAATATAAATTGGGAAATCAATCTCCCACTGCAGAAGCTCCAAAGCCAAGTTTTGTGTTCTTTCCTAAATTACTTTGCTGGGATAGCTCTCAGCAGCAGTTCATAGTTCTCTTCTGAAACCATTTATGTCTTCCTCTATGGGCTGGGAAGCCACATATGGTCACAGTAAGGAGCTCAAGGGAATCCTGAAAAGAGAGTGAAAATGGGAGATCAAGGGATGTGCCAGTTGTCCAGGATGGAAATGGCCCAGAAGGCTTTCTATAGACCCTGTGAGTACAGGCTGGCCTCAACAGAGAGAGCATGGGAAGCTGTCGGAGGTAGATTCTAACTCTGTGTCTATTTCCTTGAACGCCCAGGGCCCGGACACCAAGATCACAGAATTTCCCAATTGAGAATTGTATTAATTGGTAAAACCGGAGGAGGAAAAAGTGCCACAGGGAACAGCATCCTTGGAGAGAAAGCATTTAAATCTGGCATTTCATCAAAATCCGTTACTAAGTCCTGTGAGAAAAAGTGCAGTGTGTGGAACGGAAGTGAACTCCTCGTTGTTGATACTCCTGGCATTTTTGACACCGAGGTACAGGATGCTGACACACAGAAGGAGATTGCTCGCTGTGTCCTCCTGACCTCCCCAGGGCCTCATGTTCTGGTCCTGGTGGTCCCATTAGGCCGTTATACTGTGGAAGAACAAAAGGCCACAAGGAAGATCCTGCAAATGTTTGGAGACAGTGCTAGAAGTTTCATGATTCTCTTGTTCACTAGGAAAGATGACTTGGACAGCATCGATTTCCAGGATTACTTAAAGGAAGCTCCAGAAGGCATTCAGGAGCTGGTGGCCAAGTTCCATCATCGCTACTGTGCATTCAACAACAAGGCGACAGGAGCCGAGCAGGAGGCACAGAGGGTGGAGCTGATGACCCTGGTCCAGCAGGTGGTGAGGGAGAACGGGGGAAGATACTTCACCAATAAGATGTACCGGAGGGCTGAGGAGGAGATTCAGCATCAAGTCCTAGCAGTCCAAGAACGGTACAGAGCAGAGTTGGAGAGAGAGAAAGCACAGATAAGAGAGGAGTACGAAAGGAAAATCAGACACCTGGAAAGTGAGTTGGAGCGGGAAAGGAGAAAGGCCCAAATGGAGAGGACACTAGAGGAAAGGGAGTCTGTCTATGCCTTGAGGCAGCAGAGTGCCAGAGTGGAGGTCGAGAACCAGAGTTGGATAATTGAATTAATCTTGAAAGCCTTGAATGTTGCTTCCTTGTTCTTCCATCTGTTTATGGATGACTAGACTTAAAGAAAAATGCATTTGGGGCTGGGGTTGTGACTCAGCGATAGAGCGCTCAACTAGCACGTGCGAGGTGCTGGGTTCAATCCTCAGCACCACATAAAAATAAATAAATAAAATAAAGGTATTGTGTCCAACTACAACGAAAAAATAAAAATAAAAAAATGTTA